CGTTGTAAAACCCTTTTGGTCCACTTAATTATATTCAAAAATGAATATATTCTATCGTTTGAAAGTTTGGGGTCAATAAGATTTTTTTTAAATGTTTTTGGAAGTCGTTTCTTCTGCTCATAGAGGCTGCATTTATTTGATTAAAAACACAGTAAAACACAGTCATGTTGTAAAATATTATTATAATTTAAAATAACTGTTTTCTATTTGAATATCTTTTGAAATGTAATTTATTTCTCTGATCAAAGCTGTATTTTCAGCATCATTACTCCAGTCTTCAGTGTCACGTGATCCTTCAGAATTCATTCTAATATGCAGATTTGCTGCTCAAGAAACATTTCTGATTATTATCAATGGTGAAAACAGTTGTGCTGCTGAATATTTTTGTGGAAACCGTGATACATTTTGTTTTTCGGGATTCCTTGATGAATAGAAAGTTCAAAAGAACAGCACTTATTTGAATAGAAATCATTTTAAATGTATTTACTGTCACTTTTGATCAATTTAATGCATCCTTGTTGAATAAAAGTATTAATTTCTTAAAAAAAAACACTTAGTGTAGTGTACATGAATCAAAGCATCATTAATCTTCCAAAAATGTTAATCTATATTATGTAATGATATACTAAACACTAAATAGACATTTTGATCTCCAGAGAATTTCACAACATTCATGTCTCTCCTTCTTCAAAGTCTTTTAAGTAAAGCAAAAGAACAACAATCACGCCTAAGTGGCTCGCAGCTAATCAATACTGAGAGAAAGGAAGCGACTAATCAATATCCATAGTTTTTACGATTCTTCTTTGAGGGTGTAGACTCCATGACCAACAGATGACAGGAAACATTCACTTTCTATCCATAATTCATCAGAGTGAGTGAGTTAAACCAAAAGAACTGTCTTTTCTGATGCTCGTCCAGCCCAGATCATGAGTGGAGATCATCTCCAATATCCACCGACATTTCAATTATGCATAAACATAAACGTGATGGATTATGTGGATCTCGTTTAATGCCCAGCAATCATTTGTTTGATTGTCCATCAGAAAACCAAACTGCATCCTGATTGATGTTTTGATCGTAAAGCGATGCCAGGGGATGTTGCGCTTTTTTGCTTAGCATCGACCGTAAACGAATTTTCTAGAGTCACAGGAATATGTAATAAAACTGCAGTATTTGTGACTGGCACAGATCCACATGCACGGCCTCTGACTTAAAACATCCATTAAGAGCCATTTATAGAAGCTTAACAAGTTTGCCTGAATCACAGCTGATGTAGATGAATCTGAAATGAATTTACAGTTAGGCTTCTAGATATCAGTGTAAAACAAGTAATGATTGTAGTGTGTGCTAAGGCAATGTCTCATAGACACTTAGGAAGAGTTCTTTTGATTTGGGCCTTTAAACACCCTAGCAATCACCTTGAAAAAAAACATAGTGACCACAAAGTAACATCAGAACAGTGTTATTATAGTTAACTAAAACTAAAAACATATATGTTGCTATTTGACATAAAATAAAATAGGCAAGTAAACATCCCAGCAACACCTGAACTAAATTTCACTGGTTGTAGAGATACTAAGACCAGGGAAATGTCATCCCTCTTTCTTAACCCCGTTAGCAGCCTGGCTACCACGTTTTGGACAAGCTGTAGACAGGACAACACAAAAAGGGGAAGACCAATATATAATGAATTGCAATAGTCTAACCTTGATGAAATGAATGAGTGGATCACAATTTCCATGTCCTAATGAGAAAGAAAATGTTTTATTTTAACGATAGAACTCAAGCTACCTTTGACAACAGCACTGATCTGGTTATTGAAAAGTAGTGATGTGTCGAAAATCACTCCAAGACTCCTCACATGATCTTGTACGTTTGACGACAGAGGAAT